AACTGCAGGATGTGAGGTTTCACAAAAATCGAGAATGGAAAAAAATAAATGAAGAGTTAAGCCTTGCTTCCCTTTTCAAAAACTCTTTTGGCTAAGATTTTGGCATGAGCTCCATTTTCAGACAAATCTAGATAGATCTTGCTGAAACATCATCACTGGAAAAGAAGAAAAGCTTGCAGGGAAAAGGGTAGGTGAGAAGACTGTTCTCTTTTCTCCGCACTTTTACTCTAGCACCATTACTTCCCAAAAAAATAAACAAGATTCTGCCCACTTACACCACAGCATGTGCTTAACTACAGAGAAACAGATATTTGACAGAGGATGCTGAAATTTATGTGATTAAAAAAAAAAAATCAACTGGGTAAATATGTGCAAAAAGAAGACCATGAGGGCCACAGCAAGAGCTCATGACAGGTCCCTGTGGGAGCTGGGGAAGTGCTGTGCAGAACTGTCAGTAACACGTCTGGCCTGTTCCCACCCTCCTGCCCAGGCATTCCGGATCAGCCACGTTGTGCAGGAAGGGATGAGAAGGGTGGGGCTGGCACACAAGGCTTGGAGGTGCTGCAGCACCAGGCCACAACAGGGCTGAGATGGAGCAAGATCTGGGCTCAAGCAATCCATGGGCAGGAAGTCCTCAAAACAAGGACACATCAGGAACTGTATTCCCTCAATAGGACAATGCATTTCTCTTAGCCAGAAGGTCAGGAACGTCAAACACCCTGCCAGGCAGCAAGGCTGTTCCTGAACCCATTTTTTTCTTGCCCAACTGGATACACACTGGAAATAAACTCCTTCCATACCTAAATTTAAGCACTAGTGTTTTAATAGTAATAGACACCTTTTACAAAGGTGCTTTAATGTACATCTTCTTACCTTCCCACGCATGCCAAATACCCAAAATCAGATACCCAAATACCAAAACAGACTAGCTCACTTCCATGTTAAATGCCACCAACTAGCACATTCTCACTTGATAGCACCCTATCATAATTTTAATCTAAAAAATGCACTAAAAACACTAGGTTGAAAACTCTTACTTCATGAAATAACATACTAATTTTCCCTTAGTTCATAAAATGAGAGTTTGAGCCAACATCCAATGAAATTTACAGGTATTTTTCCACTGACCTATACAGGATCATATCAGTTGACAATTACAAGGTTAATACATTTCTTAAGATGCTTTTAAGATATTTAATATTTGTCTCTTACTGTAGAGTATTTTGGAAACAAAGTAAGAGTTATAAATGGTTGCACCATAATTGCTGTCACAAATCACCACCTATACATTATATAGCAAATAGAAGCCAAACAGCTGACGAGGCTCCAGAGGCATCTGCTGCCATAGTGGGGCTGATATTCCTGCCATCCCCACCTTCCCAGGACAGCACCCTGACTCCTCTTTAGACACTTGTTATCACAGCTCTTTGCAGAGCCCCGCTGCAAACTGAGGGACTAAATAATTTCATGTTTAAAAAATGGCATAGAGAAATATTAGCAATCAAACAGCATCAACAGGTCCTGTAAATAATTTCAAACCATGTATACTAAAGACAATTTCAAAAACACCACTTTACTTTCACAGATTTTGGCAAATCATTTGTGCAATAGCATGATTCTTCCACTTAGCTCAATACAATACATATGTACATACTTTCTTGATATATTCTTGTCCATCAAAAGTGAACCAGTGCTGTTGGTTTGAAATAATTTAATGCTACAGGCAAACAAATTCTGAAACAAACCAATCCAAAACACGTATCTCTGCTACCCCTGCTCCAAAACTCAAGTTCATGTAATTCCTCTGCGTCCTAGGTGGTCTCAACTCCACCACCAGATTATTTCCCTCAAGTGCTTCTCTGGTAAACTATCTGAGAGCCTATGTAATTTAATTAGTATAAATCATAAAGAAAACAAGAGGGTAAAACAGCCATTGCTGCACACACTTGGAAAGCAAGCCTGCAAAATGCATTCACTTGCCAGGTTTGTTTTCACATTCTCTAAATCAAGGCAAAGTATTTAACTGCAGCAGCATTAGCAAAGAAAACAGATTTTATATATTTTACAAGCATGTTCTGTAAGACATAGAGAATCTGGCCCAGACCAGGAAGATTTCCTGGCACAGTTGTGGTTGTTAAAAAACACGACAGAGGGAACATCATAAATACCAGTGCAGGTCTTTATGAACAAGTCTTCAAACAGGGAGTCATCTGCTCACTGCTGTGAGGCTTTCTCTGCTCAAGGAACAGACATGATGACAGCCCAACAACACTCATTATCCCATGGAGTCTTTACGCAATAGCTGAGCTGCACTTGTGATCATAATTACTGTAATCAGATATTTATTGAATCTGAAGCCTGTTCTTAGAAAAGTTACTAATTTTTGAAAAAATATTTTAAGATTGTTTGAGGTCCAATTTAAAAACCAGTGTGCTAAAGGCAGAAATATAAATTTCTAAGAAGAAAAACTAGCAAGTTACAAGAACCACAATACTTTTCCTTTCCCTTGGCTATTTAATGTACATTAAATATGACTGAATGCTATGATGGGTATCACAGCCCCATTTATTTCAATTACTATTTACTAAAACTGTTAACAGTCAGATGCTCATTAGCACATCAGAATGTACACAGATGCTTATTAACCACAAGGATCTTCCTCAGCAAATCTGAGTATAGACGTAGTAATAACCTGTAGCATTACCACACAGACCTCCAGCAGCAAAGTGATTTTTTTATTAAATCACCAGTATGCCTGCTGTCACTGCAGGGAGCAAGTTCATTTCTCAAACATAAGATACACTTGTGAAATATTTGACACAAAACTAGAAGAAAAGAAATCTAGGACACAAGAAATCCAGTTAACACTGGCGTAATGAAGACTTAGGGTTTGCATCCAGCCACCATCACAGATGGGGCAAACGGTGTGTGCATCTTGTCTAAAAACACCTCTCCTAGGCATATGTAGGTTTTTTGACAGTAACTTTCTGTAAGTCAAAGATGGTTTCAATTCACAGAAATTACTACCACACCTTCTTCTGAAGAAATGAAAGCAGCAATACCAAATAAATACTTACTTTGTGACTTGTCACTTCAGAAAGCCGTGTAAATTTATTACTGATGAAAGGAGCCAAATGTAGCTCATGATAGCTACATTTCCTCATTATCAAAGATGTGAATAAGCTCACAGCACCAGTGAGTCTACTTACTTCTTAAACATCTCAAGAAGTTCTAGCTGGGAGATCTAAACAATATTTTCCTTTCTTCTCTAGGATGACCAACAATGCATTCATACATTAATTTCTTTGGCCTTCATAGCATGGGTCTACAGCTCAACAGTTATCATAAGCAGTGTATTACTGTGAGCAAATATAGTCGTAATTCAGGACTATTCAGGAGGATTCTAAAACTCCCATAGTAATGCTTTCTGTGACACACTTATACCTAAGTGTTTTCAGTCAGGATGTTTCTATCAGCAAGCTGCAGCCTACAGCATAAGGGAGGCACCATTTTTTTTTACTTCTGCCCAAACCTCGTGGTGCAGACAATGTGATGAGAATGGCATGGCTGTACTTGCCTCAAACTTGAGGAATGAGAAAACAGGGACAAGAGGAGCCAGCCAGGCAGACTTGTTTGCTCTCAAGGCTTAGGGCAAACCTCATTCTCTACAACTCCTTTACAAGAGCTGCAGTGAGATAGGGAAGGGTGTCTTCTGCTGTGCCTGCAGTGAGGACCACAGAAAATGGCCTTAGACTGGGACAGAGGAAATTCAGATCAGATATCACGAAGAAAATTTTTATGATTCAAGAGGGCAGGCTGTTTAGGGAGGTGTTAAGAGTCCCTGTCGGTGTTTAAGTGGCTGGCACTGGGTGATGTGATTTAGTGGTTTACGAATTACAGTAGCAGTACTGGGTTGATGGCTAGACTCGGTGATCTTAAAGGTGTCTTCCAACCTCGATGATTCCATGGCTCCACATCCAGCTCACCACGACCCTGCACGGAGCGGCAGCTGCGAGCACCTTCCACAGAACCGGTGCAGGCTACCGTGCTCAGCAGGCTGAACGGGGCGGGGGGCACAGGCGGACACACAACCCCAACACCGTGCTTGGTCAATCGCAGAGGCGGAAACAGCCGCGGGTGCTGTCCCACACCCGCGGCCGCGCCAGGGCCGGGCTCCGCGCTGCCGTGAGGGGTGACTCGCCCTGCCCGGCCCGGCGGGCTCGGGCGCTGCCCGCCCCCCGTGCCCGCGTGTCCCGCGGTCTCAGGGCCGCGCGGGCCCGGGCGCGGCGACGGCCCCGCCGGAGCCACCGCCCCGCGGGGGGCGGAGCGCGGCCGCCCCTCGTTGCGCCGGGGCGGTGAATCACGGCCCGCCCGTCTCCTCCCCCCCCCTCCTCCATCTCAGCAGCGCCCTCAGCCTCTCTCCTCCATACAAAAGCAAAATGTCCGCCATCTTCACAGGCTGCTGCTGCCGCCGCCGGGCCGGACGGGGCCGCGCCGCGCCAAGGGCGGCCCCGCCGCAGGGCCGAGGCGGCCGGGGGGGTGATTACCTTAATGCAGTAGGGCGGCTCGTCGAACGTAACCAGCATGTACCTGTCGCCGCGGCTGGCCGGGTCCCGGGCCCGCAGCTGCGGAGAGAGCGGAGAGAAGCGGCGTGAGCGGGGGCGAAGGGGGCGAGGGGGGGGGCGGCGGCTCCCCCGGCGCCGCGCACTCACCTTCATGAAGATCTCCACGGCGCCCTTGGCGATGTCCAGGTAGCTGGTGCCCAGGTACGCCCGCTGGTTCATGGAGGCGGACGTGTCTATGAGGAAGAGGAGGATCGGCATGGTCCAGGCAGAGCCCCGGCCGGCGGGCTCCCTGCGGAGGAGGCGCGGCGCTCGCCCGCGGCTCGCTCGGCTCTGGCGGCGCTGCCCGAGCTCGCCCGGACTCAACTTCTCTTCCCTGAGCCTCCACCAGCACCATGTGACCAGCGCGCACGCCATTGGCTGGCAATTATACCGACATTTGCATATTCATGGCGGCGTGCGCGGGGCGGGGGGGCGGGGGGGGAGCGGGGTGACGGCGGGCGCGCGCGCGCCGCACCTGTCACACACGCACAGCGCGCCCGCCCCGCCCCGCTGCGGGGTCCCCCGCCCCGCGCTCCAGGGGCCGCTCCGCCCGGCCCCTCACGGCCGGTCGCGGTCCCGGTGCCGCCGTGTGATCCCGGTACCTCCCGGTACTTCCCGGTGCCCGCGGCTGAGTCACCGCGCCGCCGCCTCAGCTCGGCCCGCGCAGCCTTTGATGGCTGGGGAAGTATGCAGGAGCTGTGTGCTGGTCCCGGGGAGCCGAGCGAAGCCTCTGGGCAGCTCACCCGGTGATATAATCGCCCTCGTTCCTGTCTCCAGAGGTTTCAGTTAAGCACTAAATCCCCGGCCCCCCACAGGCAATGCTGTCCCAGGTCAGGTAACAGCCATCTCCCACAGGCAGTGCCTGGTCTGGCCATCGCACGCTGGCGGGGCACCGCAGTGTGCCTGGATCGAGGCAGGATGGCAACAAATTAATTGTGGCAAAGATGAAAATACATAAACCCTGTAATCTTATCTACCACTCAGAAAAAAAGTTTTTTTAAAAGTATTATCTGAAAGGAGGTATCAGAGACTCAATTGGCCTGGGAAGTCTCTGTGAGATCATCGAGTCCAACCAATGGCCCAAGACCCCCACGTCAACCAGACCACAGCACAGAGTGCCACATTCATTTTTCCTGTAAAACTTCCAGGAATGGTGACTCCACCACTTCCCTGGGCAGCCCATTCCAATGTCTAATCACCCTTTCTGTGAAGAAATTCCTCCTAATGTCCAACGTAAACTTCCCCATCCAGCTCAAGGCCATGTCCCTTTGTCCTGCCACTTATTGCTGGGGAGAAGAGCCCAACTTGCACCTGGCAAAACCTCCTTTCAGGTAATTTTGGAGAGAAATAAAGTCCTCCCTGAGCCTCCTCTTCAAGGTGTCCTGCTCCAAGGGACCTGGCAGCCACCACCAACAGCAACCAGATAAGGGGAAGGAGGCTGAGGAAGTATTTAGCACTATGTCCACTCATAAATACTTGTTTTCTTCTAGGACTAAATCCAAAACACACAGAAGAAGCGCTGCCAGCATGTATCTTACTTTAAAGTAATAAAGAAATGGATAATATTTTCCAGTGCTTTTAAATTCAAATGTTTTTTCCACATTTTTTTTATCATTCATTTCAACAGCAGGCAGAATCAGTTTCAGTTCTCACTCCATTTTTGTGAAGCCCTTGGACAATACTGTTGTTGCACAGTTAGAAATCACAAGTGAATTCTAATGCCCCATTACAAAGCATTACAAAATACAAATGTTGGTTAAAAGACCATTGCCCATTTTGATCAGAATAATCAAGAGAGGTAAACTCATTTGATTTAGGCATGTACTCATCCCTTTTGTCAACAGAAAAAGCCCAACATCTGCACACAGGACCTGCCATGTCTCTATATTGGCTTTAGAAAGAAGTTTGTCTTAAAAAAAAAAAACAACTCTGCAGATATTTTTTAAATAAGATTATCTCATTAAATCTCATTAATTAATTCTATTGAACCAAAAGTAGGTAAGTTAAAGAGTTGAGAAGCAACTAATTTTGAAAAAGAATCCTGTCAAATTTGGAGACTCCATTCCATTATCCAGGCCCTCCATAAGTTGTGCATGCATATCTGCAATTAAGGTTTCTGAATTTTAACAATTATAGCAGAAAGGCCAGGAGGATAAACAGCTAAATATTTTTATGCATGTCATTAGTGCACATGAATGGAGCCAGACTGAAACAAATGGGGTTTGAATCTCTAGAGATAAAATAAAAATGCAGATACTGTATTTTTGAACTGCTGCATGTTAGCCTGGAAAGATAACTCCTGGACAGGAATGGATTTGCAAAGGCCTGAATGGAAGAAGCCACCTAACACTGCCAGGTCCTGGCACTGGAACTCGATGAGGCCACCTATGCATTGCTCTCATGTCAACCAGATGAGGTCAGAGACTCCTTCTGCCTCCAGCTGACCTCAGCCAATTCCAGCTGGCACCCAACGCCCCGTGTCCTGCAGCCTCCTTGACTGGCTGTATGAAATGCTAAAAAATTACAAATTCATATCCTCACCATTTTTTTTATCATTCCAGACCACCAGATACCTAAAAGCTACTTCTTTCCTATCCAAACATAGTATTTAAAGGTCAAGATGAAACTCTTGTTTCCCATTTCACAGGTTGACCTTTCCAAGGGCAGCAGCAGGCCAGGTTCACATACTCTCCCTCTTCCTCTCTTGAGGATCTTGTTTTTTGGATCCTGCTCCAGCTGGACACCACAAGAGCTAAAGTCTAGCAATCTTCTAGGGACAATGCAAGATATTTATTTAGTTTAATGAGACAGTTTTTATTCTTTTTCTACAGATACCATGTTTGTTAACATGCATTAATACAGCTAGAGTGGCTTTTACTCCTCCTCCATACAGTTTGTTTTTGCAGAGCTGACTACCTGGCAGCTGTGGCAGTGGACATTCATCATCTCCATAAAGTTTAAACTTTTCTTGGTTTTTAATTGGAAATACACTCATCTACTATATTCAGCTGCAATAGTTAAAGAAATTGTCTTTATGGGTAAATTAATCACAACAGGTACAGCAGGTAAAGCTCTTCTATAATTAAATATTTTGAAATAATTTCTATGTAGGTATTCTATCCCATAGTAAAAAGGAACAGAATTCTGGATTGGTATTTCTAGTCAATTTTTGAACCAAACAGATCAGTGGTATTTTTTCCTGTTGTGCTGATGAAGTATTATTTTTCTCTTTCTTGTTCTAACACAGCTTAACATCTAAGCTGTTGCCTCTAACAGGATTTTAGCACTAACAGTTTGTTTCTTAACACTTTTATATTGCTTCATCTTACTTTCTTCTCACCTAGCTGCTTGCTATCCTGAACAAGTAATACACCTGGGAGACAGAAACCATGCTGCTTTAGACACTGAAGGTGCTCAGCTTTGGCACCGATTAGCCACCTGAATTTGGGGCACGCTGGATACATTAGTCAGAAATTATCTACTTAGAATCTGGATCAACAGCTAAACTCTTCAAACCTCCCTCTGCTGCTGTGGCTCCCTATCTTGGTCATGTAATACAGCTGCCCTGATGATTTTCCTTCTTAATTTAAAACACTTCCAGGCAGAGCAGAAATGGTCACTGCTAAATCACTACAAAATTATGGATTAATCCATGCAGTGAGCTGGGAGGTATGATCTCTATCACACAAAAAAAGAGGCTGTCAGCAGAGCTAAGGGACTTGCTTGGCACCATAGAAGGTGCATTTTTCAGTACCACAGTGAGAATTCAGAAGGGTTTAGCTCTTAGGCAACCATAGATGTGTGCTGTCCCTTTCAGAAAGGTGAAATCCCCTGTTAACTTAAAGAATTTGTGTGCAGCTGGACCCGGGTTTGGAAGGTAAGAAATTGTTCTAAATAATAGCTCCTTCACAGTTATATTCAAGATGGCAAAAGCTGAGCAAATTCAAGTCCTGTGATATTGTGTGCTGTATCAGGGCAAAATATTCTCCCCTGTCAGCAGTTAGCTGCTCTTAAGCCAGACACTAGAAAAGGCCAGGCTGCTTCTGTCAGTGTGTCACATAGCCCCTTCTGGAAAAACAAAACAGGAAAAAAAAAACCAAACCAACAAACACAAACAAAACCCCCAAACCAGTATTTTCCAGGACATTACTCAGCAGGACCTTTTTTCTTTTCTATAACTACACTGCAAGCTTCCACAAAATTGTAACTCATCCTTAAAGATTTCTGCCATTTTCACTTGCTCCATGTCCTTTGTGCAATTATTCCACTCAAAAGTTTGGGAGCCTGATCCAAAATTTGCCTTTTCACGGCTTTTTAGGAATGTGGATTTGCAGATGGAAGGACAGTAATGGAAGCTGGGGAGCAAATCCTGGCTACTGTGAGCCATCACACTTTGTGTAAGTCTCTGGTGGAGATGTGCACCTGAATTTCTTTTCACAGGTTCAGCAAATACAGGAATTCCATTTTCAGCTAAAATATAAAGAACAGGCTATGGATACATGCCCTGACTGCAGCACGTTTTCTGCTGATTTATTGACTGTGCATAAATACTGCACTATAACTGTCATATTTAACTACTAAAAGAGAGAGCTGTATGCTCAGGAAGATAATTCAGGGCAACTCTGAGGTTGTTCATCTGTCTTCCATGTACTTCAGAAAAAGTAGACACTTAGCAAAGGGGCAGAGTCCAGCCATCCTGATTTTCTCCTCTTCTCCCTCAGACTTGTTAACCCTTTGCTGTGCACAGTTCAGTAAGGTTTCTTCTTCCTGCAAAGTTTTTATGCAAGCACAGCTAATGCTGCCCAGAGTCCAAAGGTGAAAGCCAGAGCCACAGCCTGCATAACAGCAGACACAGTTTAACTTTCATTTTGCTTTAAAGACCAATGAGAAGAGGATGAGGAAGTGATTGGTTGCTTAAGATGGGGGATCATTTTGCAATACTTGGTAGATAAGCAAAATTCTGACAAAATGTCTCCGAGGAGACATAAAATGAACCCACGAAGCAGCACTTTGAACAGCAAAGCAAGCCAGAACAGATTTCCAGATAGGCAAAGCTTCCCATATGAGAATAGGTTTCAAAGTCCAAGAGTTTCTCCAAAGAAGAAACAACATTCAGAATAAAAGTTTGAAAAATATCCTGGCTGCTGAAAAAGAAACTGAAACCTTCTCCTGTTTAGCAAACTGGAGAATTGCGTTACTCTAAGCGTCAGAAGATAAGAAAACAAAATTTAAATTGTGCACATACCTATGCAGGGAGATACAAAACCCAAAGTGTGTGCTTCAGCCTAGTGCATGTTTGTGATCCAACAGCAAATAACATCAGATTAATGGCCCCAGCCCCAAGCTGCCATATGTCCTGCCAAGTTCTCCCCTAGGAAAAATTTATCATCGCTTGCTGACAAACACTGGGAGACAACAGAGCTTGTTCTGGGCGGGTAAGAAAGGGGGTAAGAGGGATTTGTGGCCGAGACAGGAACCTTGCATCAGGCAGTCACAGCCACGGGAAGCAGGGGCTCACGGGCTGGGGATGCTCTGACTGCAGGTGCATTTGAATTGACAGCCAGCCAAGAACTGCGTTAAATTCCCCGTTACTTCCTTTTACTGGTCTTATGCTAAGTGTTGCTAAGCTGTACCTGGGAATCAGGCCAAATCAGCTTGGGATCTTTGGATGAAAGGCATTAAAAAAAAAGAAAAAAAAAAGAAACAGAAAGAAAAAAAAAATCTAGAGTATTACCAATGTAGAAAGCAGGAATATGAATTAAATGAATACACAAGTGGCAGGATTTGGATTTTATTACATTCTACAATGTAAAATATAAAGGCAGACTAAAAAATTGCCACTTCTGAGGAAAACGTCATCCTTCTCCCTGGGTTCCTGTGAGGAAGAGTCATAAAAGCAGCACAACTTTACCAAAACTGAAACCTGAAAAGATATATGTTTAAATAGACTGGAGCCAACAGGGACTGGTTGGGAGAGTTGTTTTCCCAGGCTGTGCTACATGGATTTGTGCCGCCAAGTGAGAAGTTTACACTGTTTCATCTATTACCTCTCAGCATTTATTTTATGGCAAAGAATACTCATGGGCTGGGGACCTGCTCTGAACTGACAGGATTTATCATAAAGCAAAAGCCACACTTGGCTGTTTCATTTCAGGACACAGTTATGATTTTTGATTATATACATGGCTTGCCTGCAACAGAAATTCTCCCTTGCAGAGTTCAAAGTATCTCCCACAGAGAAAGTTTAGCTAACCTGACTACACTCCACATGCTGCTTGTGCCTGATCCAAAGCAGAGCAGACCTGCTGGAAGCCTCAGCCCTCTGATTTCAGCTCAGCAAGTCACCTTTCACCCCTCGCCATCATTTCACAGCACTGGGAACACCCACTGTCCCTCAATGGCATGGCACCTTGTGTCTTAAATAAAAAAACTGGGGACAGTCTCTAAAATATTGATGGGACACCACTCCATGGGGTGTTAACTCCGTGTTGAGGGCACCTAAAGTAACTTACTGGTCCCAAACAGGACATATTATCTTTTAGGGATGAATATTAACATTTCCAAC